GCCTCAACAACACTGCTACCTACAAAGTGCGCACCCTTTGATGAGTTCGGAGAACGGCATGCACGCGCCTCCACAAACTTTACATCTCAGCAGTAGAAAAGTAGCACTAAGGCCCATTCCAGCCTGCGCACAAAAATATGCGCCCATGACGCGCCTCAACAACACTGCTACCTACAAAGTGCGCACCCTTGGATGGATGAATCCTGTGCGTTGGGGAGTGGGAAAATACACTTGGAAGCTTCGTTTGAGCTTGTATCGTGCACAACCGCACCCGGAGGAATGTATGAGTACTACTGCTGTACTGAACCCGATGTTCTACCCCCGCAGCATATGTAGGTCCGTCGCTGCTTTGTAGGCAAAACGCACCCGGCATCAGGATAGGCCGCCGACCAAGGAAAAAATCTACACATGTATGTGCACATACACACCTGGAAGTTCATGCCGAAGCCTTTCTTGTGCCCGTTGTAATACAAGTTGGGCTCTGCGACCTCCTTCGCGCTCGGCTTGATCACCCGGACAAACAAGCCATCCATTGCTCCCACGCACTTCGGACGACATCCATAGAGCTGCGGTTGCGGAAAAGCTCGGCGGCTCTGGCAGCATCTTCACCCTCTGGCCACTTGCAGTTCAACTCCGGACAGGCATTCAGGGCGTTGATCACGGTCGACGTTACGTGGTATGCCGTACTCCTCGCGATGACATGGCCGTCCATGCACTCGTAGATGGACCCCCCCGCGAGCCATCGCAACGTCATCGCGACCTGGTCCTCCACCGGGATGGCGCCGTTGCGCAGCAGCCCCATCTGCTGGTTCTTCTGCAGGGCAGGTCGCAGGTGATCTACTAGAACCAACCCTGAAGTCATCGTACTCCATGCGAAAGCGCATCGAGAACGTGTGGTCTTGCAGCATCGGCTTGATGTAGGTCTCGAAAGGCCGCCTCTCTCGCGCGACCAGGGTGCTGCGGCTCCTCTTCGACGGAGCATCGAGCGCTGCGAGGTTGTCCAAAATGGCCAGTGCATCCAACAGGCTCGACACCCTCTTCGTGAAGGAGGCCAGCCCATGGGCACGCTTGGCCCTTCTGGTTGGACTGACAGCCATGGCAGTTGGCTCAACTTGACACGTGCCGTGGGTGACCGCTGTGGTGGTGGTGGTGGTTTGGTAGCGGCAATGCGCTGCAAAACGAGGCAGGGGGGCACGTGCAGCGCGAGTGACGATCTGCACCTACCCCATCAAGTTTTCCAATCATGTATTGTGCCTGATCGTGGAAGACCCCTTCAATGTGGAACGATTCTTAGCTAGTGTCGATATTTTTCACTGCAGTGCTTATGCATAACACAGACGATCGGGAGAGATTCGGGTGATTGTCAATTCTCTGATGGCTTTGTTTGGTTGGTTGTTCTTTTTCACTGTACGGCCGCAGACACATTATGACGGCACTTCAGACAGCAGCTTTGTGCCCCGCCAGCTGCTTGTTCCATCCATGCCTACCATGGTGTTTTTGTACAGACAGCACTTCTGACAGCAGTATGCTGTAGTCGGCAATCTTCCGTTTTGGTATAGAGAGGGACAGGGAGGGGGTGATGCTACTGTACGAACGGTGGGACGGACATGCAGTTCAGTTTTTGGGCATGCATACATANGGCTTTGTTTGGTTGGTTGTTCTTTTTCACTGTACGGCCGCAGACACATTATGACGGCACTTCAGACAGCAGCTTTGTGCCCCGCCAGCTGCTTGTTCCATCCATGCCTACCATGGTGTTTTTGTACAGACAGCACTTCTGACAGCAGTATGCTGTAGTCGGCAATCTTCCGTTTTGGTATAGAGAGGGACAGGGAGGGGGTGATGCTACTGTACGAACGGTGGGACGGACATGCAGTTCAGTTTTTGGGCATGCATACATACATACGGTGCTGCAGGGATTTTTAGGTGTTGTACCTCTTCGGGCTCTTGGATTCCTTTTTCTCGTTATATTCTAGACTATGTGTGCGTGTTCTATAGATCCTCAGATGGCTCTAGCACTTTCGTGACCACGGGCTGAGAGTCTTTGCTATATTTATTTGGGCATTTAGCAACTGACATACGGTTAAATGTGAAGACAACAACAACAAGCAGTCGTCCACGGGGTATCGTACGCGTGTGTGCATGTTTCCAAACGGAACAACTGTGCTAGGGTACATTTTTTTTTTGTTTGTTTTTCTCCCATCATTAGACTCTGCCGTCTGCCCCTCTGACCCCTATCCTCCACTTCTACTGGCTAGACGACCCAACCGGGGTCACAAAGGAGGGGGGGTTGGACCCCCTCCTGCGGTTCATGCCTGAGGTATTTTTATCGCGAGAAGGGTACAGCAATCCCTTCCCTCGCGGCTTACGAAGTCGATTATGGTGTACNGTCGTCCACGGGGTATCGTACGCGTGTGTGCATGTTTCCAAACGGAACAACTGTGCTAGGGTACATTTTTTTTTTGTTTGTTTTTCTCCCATCATTAGACTCTGCCGTCTGCCCCTCTGACCCCTATCCTCCACTTCTACTGGCTAGACGACCCAACCGGGGTCACAAAGGAGGGGGGGTTGGACCCCCTCCTGCGGTTCATGCCTGAGGTATTTTTATCGCGAGAAGGGTACAGCAATCCCTTCCCTCGCGGCTTACGAAGTCGATTATGGTGTACTACTAACAAACGAGCTTTGCAGCGCGTCGCTTTCATCCTAGACCAGGATTTATTTAGTGAGAAAAATACTCTCTCTACCGGGACTCGAATCCATGACCTGGCCCTTAGTAGGCTGCGAGGCTACCCACTAGACCACCGGGGCGACCGGTGGTCTACGTGTTGCCCGGCCATTGTAGACGTAGAGCGAAAGAGTTGAAGGTTGGTGTTGTTTCGCAATGGCGGAAACTGGAAACTGATTCCTGCCCCGTTGTCATGGTTGTTATTGGGCGAGAAGAGTCGCCGTTTGGTGTCTCATGGTTTGTTTGGAGGGGAAAAAAAGGAGTTGAGAAGGTTCCTGCGGGGGAAATGATTGATGAAAGGGTTATTTTACACGACAGGTCAGGGTACATTTCCGAAAACAGGGTATAGTTGTTGAGAAAAGTAGTCACGGCAGGGTATATCCTGCGCCTTTTCGGACGCACCGGGGTGAAAGTGGGCGCTGACCAATAACATGAGTGCATTTACTGCTGTATGTGGATGCCTTGTGTACCCACAGGTGTGTCGCTTTTCGACCAGGGTATACCCTGTTGTGTCGTTTTCCCAAGACATTTTGCGGTCAAGGAGTTTTGAGCAATCAGGCTGAGATGACCAATAGTACATCTTCGACCAATAGCCTCATACCATGACAATAGTGCTGGACGACCTCAGCACCAGCAATACAGATGGCGCTCGCACTTAAGAACTCAGCAGTTAAGAAATGCAGCCTCGAAAAAATCAAAATCAAAGAACTTGACCATAAGATCACGTGCTGAGTTCCGACGTGGTATTACGAACAAGAGCGCGTGCTAGTGGTGTAACAAAGCGAATTCGGATAACAACAGACCCCCAAACAATTGGCAGCTGCAAGACAAGAACTCATGAAGGTGGTGAGGGGTGACTCACGGGTGTCCGGTGACCCCACCCACCGGCAGTTTCAGATCAGCGACGAGGGGGGGGATCTCCGTTTCAAATAGAACTGGTGCGGAGGGGGGGGGGAGGGGCGTACTCCTATGTTTTGCATATCATGGTGGTTAGACCATTGACCACGCGTCCTCGAGAGGACGGAGTATTGTTCCCGCAGGACCAAAGACCGATGGCCAATTGTTCCCTCCTAACCAAAAGAGTTGTCTCAAAAATGCTTTCCCTAGCCTATCTATCATATCGAATAGTCTTCAACCCACGTTCTATTCCGCAGTACGCCTTCCGTCTTCTCCTGGGTATTCCATGCCTCAAACATTTCCCTGTACCTTCCTTCTACTTTTCCGAAGGCTCAGTCACGTAAAGTCCCTCCTCTCCTTGAACAACAGACATTCCGCAACAACATGAACCCAGTGTTCGCACTCGGAGCCGCGTTCACGTTTTACCTTGGTCGGTGCGGGGGTGGGGGGGGTGGGGAGGTGCTTAGCATGCCCCTCGTCGCGTGTCATTGGGGTGCCTGCCACGCTGCGAGCCGTGCACACGAGCTATGTCTTTAGACTACCCCTTGAAATATTGAAGGAGTTCGGCCAGCTGTCAAAGTTGAAAGGAGGTGTAATTATTGATCGACGCGTAGAGGCCATCAAAGAACATGTCCTTGCTGGCAACCGCCTACGAAGTCAGGCTGGGAGGTCATCGAGTTGCCGCGGGGGCGACGAAAGCTTCCCGACACCCCTTCCTTCGCCGCACCCACGGATTTTCGAATTCAAGCGTCTGAACCCGCTGCTCTCGACAGTTGGTTGCTGCAGCGTGGAGTACTCGTAAGACTGAGGATGGGCTGATTTGGTGAGCTGATCACTCGCCCGTTTCAGGAGCGTACCCGCCACCTTTACGACTACCGTATGCATTTCGAGCTACATGTCGACCAAAGCATGAATGAATGTCGTTGGACAAGCACAGTGGAGATGCGGGTGCGGTGGTAGGGTCGTCGGCTTTGCTGGAGGAGTGCGCGCCGTAGAGCAGGGAAGAGGTCCGGCATTCGAAGAGCAGGGTAAAGGTCGCAATGCAGCTACGACGGGCATTAGATGGAGCGGGGAGGACAATCACTCCGAAAGTGACTCTTGTGGACCACTAAATGGTTCAATGTGTTTGCTCAGATGCGTCATTTTTTCAGGCGATACCGCGTCTGTATTCAACTCTATCCTATCGTAATCTGCGGTACGTCGATTCCAGAGGTCTCCGTTGAGCGACGTTCTATTATTATTCTCTGTTCAATGAACACGCTGCTCTCAAGTGTCAGGATGAATCCACCCGGAAACAACAAACGGCCTCCGAATGGGGCCCTCGGCGTAGAAATAAGAACAAGAACCCCGTGTATCATACGGATATGACGCTCGAAATATGAACTTGGAAAAGGAGATAAGGTGCTAAATTTGAGGCAGTCAATAAGCATCGAGCGTTGACCAATATAAGGGGTTCTGAAGTGCGGGCGCCATCTGTACAACTTAAATACTTTCCGAAGGACCCCTGTACAAAGAACCACGGACGGGAGCTCCTAGCCGGTAGAAATGATGTTTATGTGAGCGCATATGTTCAGTGATGAAAAACGGGAGCAAGTGAAGTTGACCATTGTGCGCAAAGATAGTCTACGTGCAATACTGGTACTCCTTCAGCAAAAGGTAGAATATCTGAAGTTGCTCCTGCCGCATGTAGAACGATCACCATACAGCCGTAGTCCACGGTAGTCTACACAATCATTCACCGCCTCGAGACTTCCACAAAATGGGTCCAACAACGCAAGAAGGGTATCACGCCCTCACACTTGTGTCCGTGGGCCGCTGAGAATTTGTGAATTGCAGAACACTAACGAATCATCAGCGTCGGCGATGGACACGTATTGCACTCTTGCAGGACCATTCATTGGGGCATATGGCAGCGTCAATCCCAATGATGATGAGTTTTCATAGCACAGGATATCGACGCCTTGTTGGTTCCTCGACAAACAGGATGTATGTCACCCGGGTCGTTCGAAACCAACTCCTTCCAACGATACACGCAAGCAATCGTTTCCTCTCGTGTGACCTCTCTTACTGCAGAAGGTAGTAAACTACTCTAGGACACTTGCCGTGCCTAGCCCAGGAGACCCATTCTTCCCAGCCCGCCCATCGCACGGGACCCCCGACAGGAATTAGACAACGGGTGTATCAGGCGATATGCCAAAAAAAAACGCAAACACGATGGCACATGCGATCACCCCACACAACTACTCAGTGAAAATCAAGCATTAATACGAACATCTCCCCCAGCCGAATACCCAAGGGGAAACACAAACAGAACCATAACCAAGAGCACACAGCTCGATGGCGGGAGGAGGGCAATGTCTACGGGAATGTGTACCGGAGGAGAAATCAAGACATCAACGACAACCGTAACTGTTGCCTGGTGTGGTTGGAAAGAACTACAACAGTTTGCCCCCAGACTGTCAGAAATATGGACGCCCTGGTGCGATCTAAAATGCGTGCCAACGGGAGAAAGGCGTAACTACAAAAAATCACTACAGCAGGGCCTTTCGCGCTTTCCAACCGCACCTACCACATGCGAACGGACCAGACGTGGATAGAGTACGAAGGAGAGCACTCTACGCCTTCGAATCCACGGATGAAAACACTCAAAACACGGCCGTGCACGCACACGCGTACCGATATTGCGAAAGGTGTCATCTTCGAGACAACATCGGCTTACAAAGTTGCCAACACCACCCTTTGCAGCACGATGCCCCAACCTCTTGCTCGAAAATCCTCCATTCCACTCTCATCTCACATGTACCCGCCCAATTCCAGAGCGACGCCACGCCTGACAGGGGTGGCTCGCATAACCTATAGAAATCCATATACCGTATACCATACAAAATCCCGCAAATCCATTGTACCACCCATGGAAACATACCATACCATTCATGGTCTGGCGGTTGATGGTTCGTTGTGGGGATTGTTTCGACCGCTGTGACACCACACACAAAAAGCATTAATTCCGCGTTGGCGAAGCTTAGCGGTAACATTGCAACAGCCGTTCAAGGATTCTACAGTACCCAATGAGCCCGGTTTGGTTGCCCGAAAAGAGCTGGTGTCAACAAAAACAGAAACGACAAACACTGCAGCAAAAGAAAAAAAAACGAAACCAAAAGACCCGCACGACAACAACGACGAAATACTAAAAGTTTATGGTGCACTTGCGGAACTTCTGAGAATTAGCATCACTCGAGAAGAAGGTCGGCTTCAGTTCCAAGGATGCGAGCTGCCTTCGAAACCACAGATGTTGAGCCTTATGAAGTACCTCAACTGACGTCACAAGGACCTAGTTCGCAAAGAAAGCCCTTTTCTTTCCTCGCTTCCAGTTCAAGCCCAACAATGATCAACTTGATGCATACGTTCCAACATAATGCGTAGAACTTGCTTGTTGGATTGAAAATAAATGGAATAGACAATCACCAACTCCGGAGACGAACATGGGTGCAACACACACGCACATACCCTTGCCCCCTTCACGGGGCCGCAGGACATGGCCTTTAGAATAATTTACCTGTTGTCACGCGCACTCACAGACTGATGTCTTTTCATTAGTCAGCCGGTTTGTACCTTGGATGCTAAAAGCAACGACACACACGGTGGCTCGGTGACCACTAATCTTCCTGCCCGTGGTTCACGGGAGTGACCCATCATACTACCCCCATCTCGAAATCGTCCAGCTTGAAGAAACCACTCACGTAGGCCGCGTGCAGCTCAGTCCTCTTGATGCGCGTCAAACAATGAGGTCGGTTTGCAGCTCGCCTTCGACTTCCTCCAGAGGCTGTTCTTCGTCTTCTTCTTCTTCTTCTCCTTCCTCTACTTCCTCTTCCTCTTCCGGTTCTTGTTGAGGGAGGAAGTCGGTGCGGCACTCTGGGTGCAGGTCGGGCTTGAGATCCTTTTCGGCCTCCTTCGCGCCTGCAATGCGATCGAAAGACAGTACGCAGGCAGGCAGGTACGCAGGGGCAGGCAGGAAGACACCACAAAGATTGGCATTGTACGAACAGGGATCTGCACCAGGAGAAGGCCGAGAAAAATAAAAAAACAAACCGTAGGGTTCCGAGTATCGACGGAGCGTACAACTCACAAAAATCGCCGTGGGATTTATCTCGCGTCGATAGTGAGGCCATCTAGCATTGCCGTTAACGATAGCACCGAGAAAGAAAGGGGGGATCCGCCGGTGGAGAGTGCTGTGCTGTTGGCAAATTACTTTCGAGAAACGTTTAGCAATTATTCAAGCCACACAACTACCACAACGTCCGGCATAGGCACCATCACATGCGCGAGATACGATTCACAGGCTGACAGCAACAAAAACTGTAACAGCGCACTCCCCAAGAACCGAGTGTTTGGTGGCCACAATCAACGTGTTCTGGTTCGTCAAGACACAAGGTACAAACAGCACCGGCCCGATCTCGGCGACAGACAGAATACCCGGTGACCCTCACCAGTAAGCATGTTGCTCGCAACGACCAGCGACTTGAGCTGGGAAAGACCCCGCAGGGACTCGGGGACGCTGCCTACTCGTCGTTCAGTTCAGAGCAACAAACCGAAATTTTCGAGGTTCAAGGCAACCAGATGCAGGCACAAGCGCAGGAGTCGACAGAGAAGCCAACAGGACAAAGCCATGCAGAGGGGGCGGCGGGGATCATAGACAAGCATTAGGGAATGATGTGGAGAGCGAAAGGAGCAATTGAAAGAGATGCAGTAGGTTGCATAAGATATCACGGTCCCTGGACCGATTTTCGAAGCTTTGGCAGGAAAGGCAGCGAAGGTCCCGAAAATGACATAGTTGGAGCCGTCGGATCGAGAGCTTTCCGAACACATATGTTTGCCTTCGGCACCCTCTTGGTCGACGAGTATGTCAGTACGCGAGAGAAATACACGAAGCAAACAGCAAGAAGGAGTAAAAAGGAAGGACTAGGAGAAATAAAGGAAGCGAAAAGGAAAGTGACAGACGAAAGGAAGGAGGAAAAGTCCTTCTACACTAGTCGTACCTTGTTCCTCCACCCGAAGAACCAACCCCAACCATCCAGAGCACACGACTACGGCAGCAACCTCACGGAAAACAAAGACGAGTTTGCACAACTGATGTATCCCCCGCACGCCATCCCAGCTATGTTCTCTCTCTCTGATTTCAAATGGACACCAAAGATTTGCCGTGAGTCTCTCCTACCTGTGAGCTTGTTCTGCCCAACGGACATCGATTGGAGGTTGCTGAGCCCCTCCCCAAGCTCTTCCGGGATAGGGCCTGGCCAACCACAGATCCAACAAATGGCAGATACGGTCATCTCACTCTTGTTCTTCTGCAAGACTGTGCCATATACATCCATTTCTCTGAGATGTGGCTATGATTTCACTCATTTTCCATAGATATTCATGCCTTCCTCCGAGATGTCGCCATCATTCCACTCTTTTTCCACCGTAAGACTGAGCGACAACCATCTTTCCCGCTTCTGAGATATGGCCATCATTTCACTCTTTTTCTATCGCAAAACTGAGCGATTACCATCTATCCCGGTTCTGAGATATGGCCATCATTTCACTCTTTTCTACTGCAAGACTGAGCGATAGACATCCATCCTGTTTTCCGAGATGTGGTAGTCATTTCACTCTTTTGCCAGTGCAAGACTGCGCAATAGCCATCCCGTTTCTACGAGAAGCAATCAATTAACTTTTCCACGCCAATACCGAGCGATAGACATTCATCACATTCTCCGGGGTGAAACACCATGTCGAGGTGACCTCCATTAACAAGTAATAGCCGAGCGCCTAATACAATACGGTCTTCCTGAAAGGTTGTTCTTCGTTTGCGATTACGCATTGGGTGTCTCATCCACCTACTGAGGAACCTAATAGTATGTTCGGAGCTGGTGGGTGAGAACATTCTAAAGCCACCAAGCAACTACCGATAGACTTTGGGGACAAGTGGGACAGGTGTTTGTGAGGGACATGCTGTTGGGGGTCCGAGTGCGACCCTTCCCCAAGATTGGGCTCGGCGGTACACGTTAATCAAGCAAGGGCTAATGTCGTCATCATTCGGTCGTGGGCTACCCTTGTGGGGAGGCGCGGGAATCGACCAACACCACATGTCGTTAGAATCCTACCGGTAGGCGTGGTTGGCTTCGTTCGAGATGACGGATTCAAAATAATACTAGTAAACTCAGGAAAGCACAGCAGAGCTCGAAAAATAGCTAACTTGAGACAGCGACGGCCATGGGTCGCGGATGTGGAGCCTTCATGAGCATGACGCTAGGAATGCAGCTGGGGTTCAAGCTTGGAAGGTAGCTGGGCGGAGGTGAGTCCGGGGAGATTGTGGGGGGCGGTGAAACAATCCAATCCGACCTCGAAGGAAGAGGAGAAAAAAAAACGTCAGTGACGGGACTTCGTATATCGGCAACACCCTGAGGCTTGTATGGCCAACGAGGGGCTGGCTCACACCCTCCAAAAGTCTGCGTTTCCCGGAAGCCTATGAACGGTCTACAAGGTGAGGGCTGATTAACACCCACGGCGCAAGGTTGATTGAAGGCAACGAACGTGATAAAGAAGCTGCCATTTTTGTTGCAGCAACAACAACGACAAAAACGACGACGGCAACAACAGCAACAACCTCTGCGACATTATTATATCGACTACCACGCCACGGAGCCGGGAGCTCCGGGCGTGGTTGTGTATACCTCTAGGCAGTCAAAAAGAGAACAAATATATATATATATATGTATATTTATCCTCGCCCGCGAGCAGTTGCGTCATTCGTGGCGAGGTGAGACGGCGGCAGAGCACGCGACAAAGACAATATTATCGTCGCTTGTGCCGCAAGGAAGCAGCATGTAACGGTTGAGACCCTGAGCGGTTGATATAGCGGAAGGCACCTCTTCGTTCGGTCGTGCGGCCGTGTCACCACTATTCCTGACGAAAGAAAAAAAGGCGAGGCGCCATTCTGCTTACCTGTGAGCTGGTTTTGGCTGAGGTCCAGTTTCTGAAGGGCCGGGAGACCGCCCAGCTCGGGAGGGATTTCCCCTTTGGGGGAAGCAGGAAAAATAAATGAACAGAAACAGCACGCCCGAACCATCAGCAGCATAGATCTGTAGTTCACCATCCTCGCATCGCGTCAGAGCGCTCAGCCATCGAACTATGCTCGACCTTGTAGAGAGAGAATTGCGAGGTACAAGCATGTAAATTCCGCCCTCTGTCTCGTCCCTTATGTTGTATCTCATTTTCTGCAGCTCATGTCGTAGAGCCAGCGGGAAAAAACGAGCACCAACGAGACCCCCACAAAACCGAGCAGCGATAGGCATCACTTCACAACCCCACCCTCGGTATTTTACGTCCGTTCCAATCATGCCGGGCCGCGTTCTTCGAACTGCGAAAGCATCGGTCCTAGTGATGAATACTGTCGATCAGCATCAACTCCGTTAAACGCTGCCACCCATAGAGTGAACGCTTCACTCGTCGACTCAAACGCGGCAGAGCGCAGCAGCTGCCACACGATGTTGGCCGGAATCGATGGCCACAAAGGACCACCCATCCGGGGTTCCACAATACCATACGTACCCGTACAAGTTCACACGACCACACCACACCCACGCGAACGCTCCCACACAACGACTTCTCGACAGCGGCAGGCACCATATCACCGTGCTGAACCCGCACTCACCGGTAAGCCGGTTCTTCGCGAGCATGAGTGTGGTCAGCAGCTTCAGATCCGACAGTCCCGCTGGGATAGACCCTGCGGCGAAGGAAGAAAGAAGGAAGGAACTTTCTTTGTGCAGTTCGGGGCCGGGGTGTGCTCATGTTTTTTCGTGCCTTAGCGGTTCGACCGCTGAACACGCGTCCTCAAGAGGACGGGGTAATCGTTCCCACAGTACTGACCGATCACCGATAGCTTGGGGTGGCGGGAACGTGCGCTCGAACGCGTGTCCTTAGAAAGCCCGCGAAACAAGACCGCGGTAACCTTGTCGAGGTAAGCGTTGCTGGCGGCCTTCGAAAGCAACGCGGCTGATGGCCAACTTTCGTCGACTACCGAGAGAACAATCCGTAAAATACTACGAAGTACAACAAGAGCAGCTTCCATGAACAAAACGAAAAGGAAGCCTGCAACTTCAATACTCGCTTACCGGTGAGAGCGTTGGTAGACAGATTCAGGACCATGAGCGCCCTGAGCTTCGTGAGCTCGACAGGGATTGGACCTGCAATATACGCCATTTATGGGGGCGTGACTCATAGGGGATGGCGACTGCCTTACAGCCTCAAACATTTGGCAGTACCAGACGCGCAAGAAGGCATCACATCTCGGAGACAAGGACGTTTGATGTGCGTATTTTTCCTTGAACGAAACTGGAACCAACGGCGTAGAAACCGTAAAATTGAAAAAGCTCTGTAAACACCCAATAACCCTACCAAGTGGGGCGCTTTGTTGTCATCTACCTCATCTCGTTCGGGGCGACTTGAGGATGTTTCTCGCGAGGCGACAGCAGCCAACGGTCTAAAAACGATGACATTGTCTTTGTATCACGCCGAATACGATGTCAAGAAGGCCCTGCCACGCGATCTCGACACGCGGTCGGTCTCCTCTCAAGGGGATTCGCAGAATGAAGAGCATTTCCTTTGTCGGGCCTACCAAACGCACTTGGTACAGAGTACTGCTGTTTCAGAGTCGCAAGGGGAGAGCAGTATTGCCCCATCAAGACACGGTACTAGTACTTGCTCGTGATAGCCAATGCTTCGCAGCCAACGCCGTTGCCGAAGCTTGCCAGTACGCGACCGGTGGGATGGACGCACTCACCGCTGAGGGTGTTCTTGCTCAGATTCAGCTCCTTGAGGTTGACGAGCTTTCCGAGTTCGGCGGGGATGCAGCCTTGGCGCATGCGGGGGTGAGAGAAGGTCACAACGCCACAAGCATGCACATAGGCACGAAGGCGGATACAGACAAGCAGACAGGCAGACAGACAGACAGACAGACAGACAGACAGACAGGTGAGTACAAAGCAGTCCCGCAACGCCTCGAATATTCGAACCGTTTCGGACACATCTGCTGACATAAGACTTGTTTTCATATGCACTAGCAGTCCCTATTGGGCTGTTGAACGGAGGGCGTGCACCACACAGGCCCTGTGGGCGCCACGGATGACGAATCTTCCAAAGCTTGCGCGGGGGGGAGGAGGCTCTTGCGACGGGTCGCAAACAAGCAAGCGCGTACCTGACAGCTGGTTGCCGGACAACACCACCGCCTGCAGAATGGTCATGTCGCCGACTTGCGACGGAATGGGCCCTGAGCGCGACGGGGTGGGCAAACGAACGAGGCATGATCATGAAGGTTCGTTCATGGACACGAGGGGATGTTGGGCTAGAACCAGAATATCAAGGTTCGGCCGACAACAACACGCTGGCATTTGACCGACCCGTTGTTTGCGCGAGTCTGCATCATTAGTACCGAAGGCTACTCTGCTGAACAACGAAATTATGCCAACCTCAGCGAAGCTCAAAACGGAAACTTCTTCCAAAGGCCATGATCTGGGGCCCCGGGAGGGGGTGTCACGTAAGTTGGCGTGTGTATGGCAGGGGAGGGGGG